AATGTCTTAAATATAGCAGTATGTCTACCAAGTACTTGAATTACTATTAAGTTTAAGTCACAAATTCAGTTTGCATTCCATTTCTGAGCAGCTGTTTGTGACAAGTAAAAGTTACTGCCTTGTTCAAGAAGGTACCTCTTCTCCCGCTTCTCTTGGCTGTAATTAATATAGAGGGCTCTCAAAATGGGTGGCAATGTGGTGAAAAAGTGTTGACTTCTCGTACAGTGGAACCTCAATATATTAAATGGCCAAGGGACTGGCAAAATATATTCACTATAATGAGGTTTCGTTATATTGGGGTTCCTTTTGGCATATTTTACTACTACCAATGAGCAAAGAATACCATTTGTTATACCAAGGACTTTGTTAAATAGAGGTTCATTAAATTGAGGTTCCACTGTACTTTTAATGTACGTCTCATCTTTATAAACAGGTATGGCAGAGCTGAAGTGCTGGCTGGTTTTGTGAATGGACTGTTTTTAGTGTTTATAGCATTCTTCATTCTATCTGAAGCAGTAGAGGTACAAATAAAATTAAATTGTCTATTATAGACCCTATTCATAAACAGCTGCCAACTAAATATTCTTTTGTATGCATTCAAATTAGCCTCACTAGACTCGTTTGGGAGTAAAAATTCTTTTGAATTATCCACTCAAAAACAAGGTTAGTCAAGCTAATTTTAAAGTTTACAAAAGATTTTATAATTAGCAGCCATTTATGAATAGCGTCTATATCATAATGTAGATCTATTTATTAAATTCATCCTGGTACGGCTACATGTACATGTAAACCTTGTAAACAAATTCAGTTTTTGCTTTCCACCATCATGACAAGAACATTTGTTGTAACATCTATGTCTCCATAAAAGAGCAAGGCCTTTTTTACATGTTTATAAAACACATTGTGGAGGTGTGGTGGCATTATGGTTAGTGTGCTTGACCCCACATTGAGCAGTCCGGGTTCAAGCCCTGGCCGGGAACATTGTGTCGTGTTCTTAGGTGAGACACTTTACACTTACTAAGCCTCTCCTCACCCAGGTGTACAAATGGGTACCGGCGAATTTAATGCTGGGGGCAGCCCTGCCATGGACTAGCATCCCAACCAGGGGGGAGTAATAAATAATAATCCTAGTTGCTTCATGCCACAGAAACCAGGATAAACTCCGGCCTGATAGGCCACTTGGTTCGTATGCAGACTTAAACCTACCTTGTAAAACACATAATAATTCTTTACTTTTATTTTGTTTTCACAGCGAGCTCTTCATCCCCCAGAAGTGAAACATGAAAGACTCTTTATTGTATCTGTTCTAGGATTTTTTGTCAATCTCATTGGTATCTTTGTTTTCCATCATGGAAGTGCGGCAGGTAAACATGTAGTCATTGACTCAGTCCTGGTCATCTCCTGTGAGAAAATATTTACTAGTGAAAGGGAGACAGCTAGGGATGAATCAGATGTAGTCCTATTTAATCCTTATAATTAAACTAAGAGTGAAAATAATTTTAATACAAGTTAGTGTGGTGTGGTTTACTGTTTTAGTGCATTAAATGGCTAGTGCTTTGGATTCAGCAATGGAAAAAAATGTGGTCAAAGAGAAGACACACCTTAGCTTCTGTTTAGTAAAGGGGGTCTGGAGTGTGGACCCTATCTTGACCCCATCTTCCTTGAACATGGGAAGGGTCAAGAACTTTCCCAGTGGTCTGGGCCTTTTATTTCTCAACAAATTTAGGGAAGTTTGCATCACTTTGGGACACACATGGACAGTTTAAATTTCCTTTTACTTTTTCACTGTTAGTTTGTTTGCAAGCTTTCATGTTGCTGTAGCTACCAGAAGTCTTCAAGTAATGTTTTTGGATTTTACAGTCTTGTTTAATGATGCTGTAACAATTTCAGAGCCAGTCAATAGAATAGATTCTTTTCAGATCAGTAGAGTTACTGGATTTCAAGAGACATATTGCTATTATTGATTGACAGGGCATGGACACTCACACGGTGGTCATGGTCATGGACACAGCCACGGACACTCCCATGGCCATTCTCATGGACATACACACATGAATGGTGGACATAACCATTCTCATGATTCAGGTGTGTGTCTGTTTAACATAAATTATTGCAAATGAATTGCAACAACAATTTTGCGAGACACCATGGCATCATGGGTTGACTGACTGAAGCTAGCAGTGCGGCTTCCAGTGTTGACCAGGGTCACCATGTTGTGTTCTTGAACAAAACACTTACTTCAATTGTAGTCTGATTGTACCTCTAATTAATTACTCTAATTGTACCTCTCTCCTCCCCAGAGTTTTAATACTCATGGTTACTAGCAAACCATTAGGACAGCCCAACAAAATGCTTGGGTGTGTAACCTGTGATGGACTACCATCCCACCCAGGGAAAGTAATAATTTGTTCCAGAAAATATCCATGCCTCTCCTATTTATATTTAACAATTACTCCATGAATGTGCATTGGATATAAGACAGCAGATAGCCAATGAGGTATGTAACACCGAGTTGGCTATAACCATCCTATATCTGACAAGTGCGGTTAGAATAATAATGGTTTTGTTAAAAATGCTCTCAAAGTATAGAAAACTAATTAGAAATAAAATAAAAATAAATATGCTTAAAAAATTATGTGTACACTTACTATACTTGTAGAGCATGGTATAATGGCTCACGTACCATGATGGCTAAGCCAATGAAAACTCCAATTGCATTATTCAGTGATCCAGTTTTTTAATAAATAATTTATTTGTTCTTGTATTATTACAGGGTGTTCAGCCAAGGAAGGAAAATTAGAAGTCTCCACAAGTAAAATCATGGAAGGTAACTTCTTAACCAATAAATTTGATAATTTACAAGTACATATATATCCTATTTTCTGCTTTTCAAGAAATTATTTTCAGGTTGCAGTTAAGTTAAAAATAGACTATACATACATGTCTTAGACACGTACAAACAGCAGGGCATTAAAGAATTTCTCAAAGCTGTTTTTGCATTATTATTTCTAGCCAACAAAATCATTTTGACTCTATAGAAAACAGAACATAATTTTGCTATATATCACTGACAATAATTTTCCCGTATGACCTTTTCTATATTTCAACCCATGAAACCCTTGTGATTTTCTATGCCAGCCCAGAAAAGACACCTTTTTCGGTTAGAGCTTCTCCATTGCCATATCTAGTCATTATAAGCAGATGTACCACTCAAGGAGATAGCAGAGTTTTATATGTAGTGTGTTTTCACGTGACATAATACCAGCCATATTGGGATCCCAAAATAATGAAACAGTGGCCATGCTGGAGTTGGAAACCAATCCTGTGGGAGTTGAACTCTTTTCTTATGTAAAAACTGTCTTTTGCACCATTAATTTTGCATGGGTGCTGGCCATGTGATAGGGTCAGTCTCCAACCGTGGGTGTTTTGGTGTGCCCGCGATAAGGTGGAGAGGATCGCGGGTGTGCCAAAACATCCATGGTTGAAGACTGAGCCTATCCATGTGAGTGAAAATGCTCTATTTGTTTCTGATCTATTGAACATTATTATTTCTTTACATGCAGGAGTTTTTCTTCATGTACTGGCAGACACATTAGGAAGTGTAGGAGTAATAATATCTGCAATACTTATACACCAATTTGGTAAGGTTTCTTTTAATGACTTAGACCTTAGCATTAAGATGTGTGCAATACAATTATTACTACCTATGTATTGTTTGTTATGTGTACAGTGGAAATTATGCCAATTTCTCAAATCCTCGATTTTTCAAACCTCTCAGTAACTAGAACCCTTCAGTCGAGCACTGAATTTTACCCCTGATTTCTCAAACTACCTGATTTTTCTCACCAACTTTGTTTGAAAAATCTGGATACGGCTGTGATTTGAAGAAGGGGAAAATTAAGTACCAAGTGTGATTTGTTTTGTTTTGTTTTGTTTTGTCAACAGGCTGGATGTTAGCTGATCCTGTCTGTTCAATATTTATTTCTATTCTTATTTTCTTCAGGTGAGATGCTTATACTATAACTAGTAAGAGTGGTTCCCTGTGCAAGGGTTACCAAGGAATATTGTGTTTACGAATTACGTCTTTCTTTTTGTCATTCTCTCTTCCTCCCAGTGAAATAGCCTGATTGTAAATGAGTTAAACTTCAAATCCAGTAATCTCCTACACAGCCGTTAATGGGCTCGTTGTGCAACATTCCTCCCCCAGCATTGCGTGACAATCAAAATAATGGCTGTGTAAGGGACTACAGATCCAGCAGTAGCTTATTCTTTCTTCTAATAAACACTCCACATTGACTGCCATTTTTTAAATTAGCATTTGTATTCTAATAAGTGCCCTCTTCCAATAAGCTCCCCTATGGAGAAAGTGACATTAAAGTCAATAGAATAGACTGATTGGACAAATGAATTATGAAGTTTGCTTTCTCTTGTCTGAACCTAATATTGAACGTTATGACCATCACAGCCCTAATGGTTACACTGTTACACTATTCTTGAGTTAAAAAGCCTGTTGTTTTCATTTAGTATTACATCACACTCAGATGTACATGTTCGAAAAGAAAGGAGCACCCTATCCCTGACAAGCGCCCCTTCTCCAATAAACGCCCTTCCCTTAAGTTACCAAAAATAAATTAGCACCTCTGGTGCGAAGTGGAATGATTGCAGTAGTCAGTTGATAGCCTGATGTATAAAATATGGTATGCTGTATGTTTTGTTTTCTAATATGTATATCTTTTTTATTGGAGAAGAAAAACCTGACATGATGTTAGTTTGTCAAGTATTTGATTGCCTAGGTCTTGGTTTGATAACTTATCTTGTGGTTTTCTTGTGTGTTGGCAGTGTAATCCCACTTTTGAAAGATTCTGTTGGAACACTAATGCAGAGAATTCCAGTTGGCTTGGAAAAGAATGTGCATATTGCTTATCAAAGGGTAAGTTCATCTGTTCACATGAACCTTTTCAGCTTCGTTTTTAAGGGAAGACTACATAAAGAATGGCAAATTGTAAATCTGACACCCTGAAATGATGACACGGGTATTTTTTTTTTCTACAAGTCCAAGATGTGTTGCCATTTTGAAATGTGAGATTGCAATCTATACATGTAGTGGAACCCTGCCTTACAGCCACCCCATTCATTCAGCCACCTCATTATTATTATAACAGCCACTTTATTCTGGCCCAAACAAAAGCTCAGTCCGTCATTTTGGTATTTAAAGAACCCCAGCCTTAAGTAAGACGTCACTTTTAATACAGGCAGATTTTTGTGGCCCAGTGGTGACTAGATTAACAGGGTTCTACTGTAGTCACTAATTTTCTCTCTGGGCAGTTACCAAAAGAAATTCCTGTGCAGAAAAAGTGGAGAAGAAAAAATATAGTCTTGAAACCCACAAAATAAAAAGTTGTTGCCCACAGTTAAGATGAAAAAAATATTCCTCACTCTCTCTCTCCCACCTTCCAAATGATATAGTGCAGCTTCTCTTAGTTTTTTTTTATGTTTTAGTTGATTCCCATTTAGGACAACTAGAATGTTAAAGTAACTAGGGCTGAATAGTGATTTTCTTTTATTTTATACCACAGGTGAATCAAATGGATGATGTGTTTAGCATTCAGGATCCTCATTTCTGGGCACTCAGCAGGTTTGTATATCTTATTAGATATTTTTAGTGTGCTTGTGCTATCGCTGTATATTTTTATGGAGTTTGAAGTATTTTGGTGAGCCCATATTTTAGTACACACCTTGTAGGTCTAGCAGCATTCTGTCATGAATGCTGTTCTCTTATTGGCTACGCTGGTCACTATCTATTCTGTTTTGGATAATGAGTACCTTGGCAGTGGCATCCGCTTCTTTAAGCTTTTGAAGTGTCTGTGAAGAGGATCAAGATAAAGTTTTGAATGACTAGTAGATTTATACTAAAACAGAAGATTATTCGCTCTCGATTTCTATGCCTGATACTTCACGAGTACGCAATAGAAATCTCGGACTCATAATCTAAATGCTAAGTAAACCAACACTTCTTTGTCTAACATATCCACCCCCCCCCCCCCCCCCCC